TTCCATCTATTATCACCATCCCACCTAAATTGGAACAATGTTTCGGATGGATTATAGAGGTGGCCTTGTAAACAAAAGGATGTTGGTTCGATCCCTATAAAGAGCACACTTGAGTCATCAACATTGTGCCCTTGAGCAGTAAGTGAAATTGGAAGTCGCTTTGTATAAATGCTAAAGTTTGACTTACAAACTAAAACATTTAAAGAGATTGTTGAAGTTTTTTTTTTCATGTATATGTAAAATACTATTAAGATTTGAATTGATAAAAAGCCTGAAGCCTCTCAACAAATAATACCTGAATTATTTCTGAAAGGCCAGAAATAATTACCCTTCTTCTTTGATTGCTGGAGGGATTTTGAGGTCCGAGATCCAAAACTAATGTATGCAACATCTAAAGCAGTCATTCTGTCCTTTAAATCAATTATAGCAGCTTTCTCTGCTGAATATTTTAATTCATTTGCAGTAAGTGCATTCAGAGACTGGCACTCCTTGAGTAGCACGCACACCCCGGCCATTTCTATAGACCGCTCACATTGTGTCTGAATCAAAAGTACTTTGTATCAAGATTTTTTTTTTTACCGTTGTTGAGGTTAAGGGTACAGCAGAGTTTCCACAAAACCCTTTGAGAAGAGAATCACTCGTCCACAAACCACAAACAAGAGACTTAAGTGAGACAAAAGGCTCTGGAGGTTTTTCTGGCAAATGGGGAGAGTCAGAGCCATTATTCCCAGTGAGAGTAGAGCCCTCGGAGCAGGACAGCTAGTGTCTTTAAAGCCCCAGAGCAGCATGAGGTACTGCAGGTTACGAGCGTGCTACTCTGTCATGGCCCCTCGTCTCCCCGACATTTCAGCCCCCAACAAACTCTCTGAGATGCCTCCCTTAATTGGAAAGGATTCCTCAAATGGTGCAGGGCCCAATGGTATAGGGAACGTGGATGTGCTTAGAATGTAGGATGAGGAGTTTGTGCTTGTAACTGTGTCGGATCTGGAGGACAGGTGTTTTGTTTTTTGTTTTGTTTTCAATCATTTATGTTTACATATGCACATACATGCAGATTTTAATTGAGTCAGTTCAATACAGTATGATATAGATACACTATATCAATATTTGATGAGAAAATGAAGATGAAGATGTTTCGGATTTGTAGGATTTTGCATGCACAGGCCAGGTGTTTTGTTTTGTTGTCAATCAATTATTTTTACATTTATGCATATAAGTAGAATAAATTAACTGAATCAATTAGATAGGTTTATATTTGGTGAGAAAATGCCACATGAAGATAAAATCAAAATTTATTTTTTTTTTGTAATGATTTTACTTTATTTATTTGTGATTTTCTTTGTTTGTTTGGTTTGGTTTTTGCTTTGTCAGTTCATTATGTCACATAATTTAATATAGCAGAATAACTGAATTGAATTGAATTATCAGATATGCCAATATTTGGTGAGGAAATGTCCCATATGAAGATAAAATCAAAATGTATACTTTTTATATTAAATTATTTTACTTTTTTATTATATATTTTTGTTTTGTTTGTTTTGCCAATCAATTATTTTTGCAGAATATGCAGAATGCAGAACCTATGCAGAATAATTGAATTTAATTTAACTGAATAAATCAGATATGCCAATATTTGGTAAGAAAATGCCCCATATGATTTATATATATATATGTGTGTGTGTGTGTGTGTGTATGTGTATATATATATATATATATATATATATATATACTGTATAAACATTTTTTATTATCGCACTCTATTTATTTTGTTTTGTTAATCAATTATGTTTATGTAAGCAAAATAATTAAATTGAATTGTCAGATCACTATTTGGTGAGAAAATGCCCATATAAAAATAAAATCAAAATATATACTTTATTTATTATTTGTTTGTTGTTTTCTGCTTTGCCCTGCCAATAATTATTATTATTTTTTAAGTATGCAGAATAATTGAATTGAATGAATCAATATTTGGTCAGAAAATTCCTCATGCTAAAAAAAAAAAAAAATTATATATATACTGTATATATGATGTATGTTCTGCGTTTATTTATTCATTTTAGTTTGTGTTTTTACTCCATGTTCGAATCACATAATGTAAACTAGTTGAACATCATCATTTATGGAAGCTTTCATACTATTTGATGAGGAGTTTGTGACTATGTTGCATCTGTAAACTTTTGTGTGCACATAGAGGACAAACAGCATGTATGTGTGTGTTCATCTGCCAGTGAGAGTGCTAATGCATTTGTGTGTGTGTTTGCGTGTATGCAGAGCATTGAGAAGCATGTGGGCTGGCCATCCTCCCCCAGCGCCAGAGATTCACAATGGATTTTTTCTCGCAAGCAGACCCACGGCGGATCTCGAACAGTCCCCCCCTCCCAGCACCAATAGTTATGCTTGTGGTGAACAATTACGCAAGCATAACCTGCCTCTTTAATTTAGGGTTTTCAAGATGCAAGGGACTGTCGAGGATGTTAAATTGCTTTTGGCTTTCTGTTTAAGGCAAAGCTGAAGTGCTGGTGCCTAGAAACCCGAGAAGAATAGGACAGACATTACTTTACTAACAGCAGCTTTTAGAAAAAAAAAATGAGTGGCTTTGTTTAGATAAAAAGGGTTTGCAGATGTATGTGTATGGATGGGTTTCTCTTGGACAAACCAGAAAAGAGTATTGAGTAAAAGAGAAAAAGCTAAGTTATAATACTGCACTAAACGACATTATCCTGAAAGGCATCCTATTGTATAGAGTAATGATTGCTCTTTTGGTTTGTGCAATTGTTTTGTTTGAAATACTATAAATGTACTGTAAATGCTGGCAGTAACATAACAATGGCACAGGCTGTATTCTGAAGAGTGTACCCTGCAATCTGCCAACCTGACATCTGACAGCTATCTCCCCGGTTTGTTCTGGCAGGGTCATAATTGAAACAGCTCCTTTGCAATTAAGACCTTACAAAAAACCCCAAGCTGAGCAACTCCAGCTCTAATGAATATACAGCTGTCTGGCATGATTATATGAGCGCTGAGAGATAATTAATCTTGCTTGCTGTCTCCCTGTCTATTATTCCACCCTCGTGTGTTACCAGACCTCTTTCATTTATCCGTGGCATGAAGAGCAAGATATGGGACATGGATATCTGAACATGTGAGATGAGAACTTGTGGCACATTGTAGATATTTGATTATTTTTTATATATTTTAAATTATTTTATTTTATTTTTAGGGATGCCAATCAATTAATTTTAAGTATACATTTAAGTTTTTAAGTATGCATATTAATTAAATGACTATATGAATATTTATTTAAAAAATAAAGTGATTGATAAATGTTTTATTGTTATAAATTATTTTATTAATTCATTTATTTATTCTATTTTTATTTTTTAACTTGGTTTATGAATTGCTATTACATAAGAATATATATTACATAAATAACTTGCCTTTCAGCGACTCACATAACATAATTACTATTCATGACCAAAGCTGTGCCTGAATATAATTTTTTTAATTAAATCATAGTTGGCACAACAATGTTTTAGGCCTAATACTAAAACATTTATGACAAAAATGCCAGGATGATGCTTCTTTACACTTTCTAATAGTATCTCAAATGAATATCCGTCGCAACTAGACATTTAAAACGGTGTCATACTTGTGAAGAGAGCTTGATGAGATTTATAATGTGCCCTTTTCAGACCATCCTTACACCCCAGAATGGTTATACAACTCAGATTAGAAGTCTTAACACAATTCGATATGTATCCATTATCTATATGATAAGATGATAGAACACTGAGCTGCTACCTTGATGAAAATTTGCAATACTTTTTGGCAGAATTACATCCTGTGTGTGTTTAAAAGCCAGGTTTAGTCATTGCTCAGGAAGTTGCTTTTTTGTGGACTAAGCCTGTGTGTTCTTAGCCATGTGATTCATTTATGTAGGAACATCCTTAAAGTCTACTTTACTCTACTTTCATGCAACTGAAACAAAATATTTCCTTAATGCATTCTGAACAACATGTGGTGTTGTTACTGGCAAGCTGAATAAATTTGTGTATAAAATTAAATTGATTAAATTTTTGTATAAAGTGCATCACCCTTGATAAAACTGTAACACCACTGTGCACAGCGCTTGTTAAAGAAACAACACGCTCTAAATTATTATATTTTGAAAAGTCTTCTTAGTTGGTAAATGGCAAGTGTGTTCCTCTGGCCCTCAAAAACGGTTTTGTTTAATTTCATTCTAATTATATTCCAAATATTTTATAAAAAAAGACATTTGTGTTTGCACATTGGGGCAGGAGCAGTTTAGATGATTTGATTGCATGACATTACATCTATTATTATTGTATTTTTAGTAAAGGAAACACCTGGAAAATGGAACTAGTTTGGTGTTCTACTTGTCTAAAATGAATAATGCTGTCTAAGTTACACATTTATGTTGCAACGCAACAAAAGTAGACCGCTGTTATTATAATCAGTAGGCCTTTCTACACTGCACAAACCTGATGAGGCCTTCAGTTGATGAATGCCCCATTTCTATTTGTAATGTGCTACACAGCAACTCCAGCCAATTTCTTTATCTGTCTGAAATAAAATTTTATTTGTTGTATATTTGAAAGAATTCTGAACAAAACTATATTATTTATTTTATTGTTATTTTTTTATTATATTATATTATTTTATTTTATTTTAGATGAGAAAAGCCCCAAGTAAAGAAAATTTCAAAACATTTTATTATTTTATGCGTTTTATTTCTTTTATTATTTTATTAAATTCAAAAAATCTCCCAAAGTGTTGCCTCGAGCTCACAGCTCATTGGTTGATTATTAGTGAAGACTCTGAGGTGGCAAGGAACTTTGACACATTCAGTGTGGAAAGCATCAAGCTGTGAAACATCAGTCTCTTCCATTGCTCTCCTGGTGTAAGTGTGAAAATTCAGTCAAAATCTAATGACACTTCAGTCGATGTTGATGCAAACTTTTTCTTTTGTCTGTCAGATCAAGAGAGGATTGGAAAAGACTCATCCTACGAGCAAGAAGGAAAGGTGATGTTCGTGATTGATGCAGTGTACGCAATGGCGCACGCCCTCCACAACATGCACAAAGACCTGTGCCTTGGCAAGGTGGGACTCTGTTCCAAAATGGACCCAGTTGATGGAACCCTCCTGCTAAAGTACATCCGCAATATCAAGATAGCAGGTAAGCGGTTTACCTTCACTCTAAAAAACACTGGGTTAAAAACAACCCAATTTGGGTTATTATTAACCCAAGTGCTGGGTAAATATAGGACAGAACCCATCTTGGGTTGTTTATTTAACCAAGCATAATAGGTTGATTTAACCCAGCTAATGGGTTTATTAATTTGTACTATATTACTAGCTTATTTTTTACTTCATACATTAAATAATGTTAACAGATTAACTTAAATCCTCTAAACTGTTCTAAAATACTCCACACAACCACTGGTTTGCACGATAACTTCCTTTATTTTCCTTTATTCATCATTTACAGCATTGTTTATATCGTTTTTAATAGGCTATACATATTGCCTATATTTAAACTCGTTTAACAAACATTAGAAGAAAAATTCAACATCAAACAGAAGTCATTCACGTGTGATCGACCAGTCTCTGTTATTCTGTTTCCACCATAACGGCGCTGGTTCTCGTGCCCGAGCTGGAGTCGTGTTCGGCGGGGAACTGCTAACGGCTTACCGAAGAATGCATCAATTCGATGGTGCTTAGAACTGCTGTCTCGTGAAGAAAAGACGCAAAATCCCCGCGATAAATAACTCAACCGCTGGGTTACG